CTTGCGTGGCGTGTTGAAATTAGAACTATCACAAAGGTTTTGCCGACGGTCCTCCTTGCGCTTTCTTGACATCGATCTATGTTTTGTTTCAGCTACAAGATCGACCTGGTTTGTACGAGCCCAAAGTAATGGGAAAGGCTTCAAAACTCACCTCTGTCGTCTAGTGGGCCGTCTTTTTTCTTTGTGCTTCCCTGTGCTCTGTCTGCTCTTTGAATTAGAGATATGGCTTTCCGAGAACCTGATGCTGGAGTGCAAAGCGTGAAAAGTCACTCACCTCGAGATGATAGATTGAGCCTGGTCATTCACCCCAAATTCGATTGACTCCGGGGACTGCTTTCTTTCAGGGAGCTCAAAACGGACCCTTCGTTTGCGTTTGCTCCCAGGCTTTTCAGCCGATGACCGGACGCGACCATGTTCTGTCGAGGTCTTCGTACTAGAAAATCCCGGAGATTTCGAAGAGTCCGTATGGTCTAAAGGTCGAGTCTCTCCCTCCAGGCCATCGCGCAATTTTTTGCACTCTCTCCAAAGTTTGCTGCAACGATATTCAGAGGCTTCCCCTTCCTGCCGTGCCATTGTTAACTTTTTACTCCCTTGCGAGTGTCAAGAAGAATATCCAAATTTCAATTTAGAATCTAGCTTGTCCGGCGAAGAACACCCGAGTGGCTCGAGAGTGTGAGGAGGAAAGTCCTGCTTTTCTTCTCGACGAGAAAAGAAAGTCTTTTATGCCATTCTGAGTAGGGTTTCCGGCAGCGACCACTTGCGTACATTATACCGGACCCAGAGATTTCCACTCGACATTCGTAACGGGCGGCTGCATTTTCGCTGGGTGTTGAGGCGGTTTATCAACGTTGAAATAAGAAATTTCAAGAGTTTGGAGTGGAGAGCGGGTGGAGTGGCTGGATCCACCTGGAGCCGTGGTCGGCATGATACGATGCGTGACAAATCATTTGCCTCATCAACGTTGGTGACAAAGATGAAACGGCCTTTAGCGCAGTTTTGTATGAGGTGTAGACCGAAGTGGCATGCTATGGGCTACTCGCCGTGGCAGCTTAATTTCTTGTGGCTCCAGAAGTCTGCCAATATTCGCTCGCACCGTAGCCAATCAATTCGCAAATCATCGGTCTCAACATTGCTCAACGATGTGAAACGGTTTTCACGCAGCTAATATGTAGAGTCGTTCCATGGAAGACTCGCCTTGGCAACTCGCTTGCCCATGCGCAGAATTTTTCGCCTGCAAAATTTTTGTTCTCGCCCCGTGAGAGAAAAATGGTTTCCCTCAGCCTAGCCGACATATTTTCCGTCGCAAGTCGCAGTCACTGCAGCGCGTCATGCCGCCCAAATCTTTATTTCACTTGCCTGTACAGGATGACCAGGGTACTTCGTGTACCCACGCCCACAAGCCGGCCGAGGTACCATCGATGAAGAGATGTCGACGCCGAGTCCGTCGTCGGAACATGATTTCGTCGCGCCCCAATAGAGACTCCGCCACTGACCAGCATCCATGGTCTCCACAGTCAATCAGCTACCGGTAAATCACCTCGCGATCCTCTCGAAACTGAATAATTCCAAAATTGACTGTCGAAGGTCCTTGAAATCCTTTTTGAAACAGAGCCGGGGACTGAAAGCTAAGGGTAAGCTGAAACAAGAGACTAGAGTGCCTTCGCTAATTATGATCGATAGAGTTTATAGAGATTTTGTTTCCCATCCTAGGACTTCATATGACGCCTATCCCTTTTCGAGCACAACATTTGATCCTCCAAACGCTGCAACGCCACCTCGAGCATTCCGCTTTCCGATTTGTTCAAAAATGGCTTCAACCACAGTCTTTGGCCGTTGGATGGACATGCCCCGAGGCACTGGAGCTGCACATGTTCTTCAAATTCTTAGCTAGAAACCGATCGAAGATCTCGTCGGAGCAACATGGTGAAAATATCACCACTGTTCAGAACTTGCGCCATTCGATCGCCGGCATTCGCCACGCCGCTGTTCATCGCTTGGCCCAAGACAGGGATAGTCTGCTTGAGAAGAATTGTGCTGCCATCGAATTCTGTCTTCGCGTCGGCGACAACTATGGCGCAGAGAGTCTCTGTCGTCTCTTTGAATTCCTACAGAAAATCCTCCCGAAGTCAAGCATGGTGCAAGTGCAGTCACAGCAGGCTGTTTCCTCTCATCCTCATTTACCCGAGCTCTCTCTCCGCACACGACTACAAGAACGATCCATGATACCTATTGACGTGATAAAGAGACTCATTGGATGTATCGAGGAGGACTTGATCTCAGAGGTGATGCATTTCTTGCGGATTGAGTTTCCGTGAGGCGTGGTGCGTGGGCCGGTCCGATTTATGTTCGGGACGTTATTGAATGGTGGCATGTACCTGAACATGGTCAGCCCAAGCAAAAGAAAACCTCTATGTACTCTAAACATTCAACTTCCCATTTAATTTTACTTTATTGACCTCGTTACCTGTAGTCTCTGAAATGTGTGTCGGAAAGCGGGTTACTCCGTCTGAACCCAGCATTTCAGGATTATCTCCCGCATTTGGACGTACGCTTGAACAAAAGATCAAATCTACGTCACATTACTCGACGATCCTATATATAATGCAAAGACAATGCTTTCAAAGTGCGAGAGGAGGTGCCAGCAGCGGCTGAGCGACTGCATACTATAAGCAGCCCCGAGGAAGTGTGATCTATCTTCACAATGAGGCCCCATTGATGTCACGAGCCCAAGGCAGCAGATACTCCCAGAACAGCATATCGGCAGTCATAGTCTCTGGAGCGTGATGTGCATAGGATCTTTCAACAGTGTCATCGATGTTTCAACGTTGATTTCAGTGATGCTTCATCATCAGCAAACCGATCTAATCGTGCTGCCAACGTTGGGATTATGGCTTCGGCATAGCCATGTCAAATAGACTGGCCTGTGATTTCCTATGCTTTTCAGAGCCGGTTGTCTTCCGTGACCAGAGATTCATGGGCTATAAATATTCTACTCATCATCGACTTCTGAGAAAATAACTTTTTTTTCTCCGCCTCATACCCACCACATCTTCTCCTGTCCCGCGAGGTAGGCAACGAATCTCGATTTAAGGCACCAACATCTGCTGATCTCTATGACTTTCCAGAAGAATATCACGGTCATCACGAGCCTACAGCCAACCGCTACGATTGAGACTCCACCAGTCGCAAGACTGAATCTATGTTCTCCGAAAAAAACCAAAGCCTAAATCACCGCCAAGGAGGCAATTTCCTAGAGCTAAGAGAAAGTCTCCTAGAGCAGTTCCAACTGCTGCAAGAAAGACTTTGCCTCGCCCTAGAAGAATCCCAGGACATATTGGATCAATTTAAAAAGAATGTGAGCCTCGCGGTCGTTTACAATGCCCCGATGATCAGTGTCAATCTTATGAAAGGGATAGATGCCATCTTTGGTTCTCCAAGCCCGAAAATCATCCAGCTCGAAAATGGCACGATGCAGAGGACCATCACTTGGCTGGATGTTATGAATGCAGACAGATCCAAGATCGAATTCAAGGAAGCCGAAGTCTATCATTATTATCTGCATGACTTCAACGCAACTGCGGAGTTGTCAGACTTCCAGCATAATATGCTGATTTCCGGCCTACCACAGAAATTGATTCAACCTTGGTACTACAAGAGAGATGTCCAAACAGAGTTATATACATTGTCGTTCACTGCCGAGATGGTTGCAATTTCGAACCAGCTTGCATCAAAAGGTGAGTTACCTTACGCCTTATCCGGTATAAAAAACGATTGTGCCTTGACTGATCGGCAAATCCCTGAGTCACAGTGATTGAAGTCAACAATAAGATAATCGGAAAAGCTACCCAGCGGACTCGAGCGCTTCAAGAAATTTTAAACAAATGGCAAGAATCAACACCTTCGGTTAAAGACCCGTCAGTCCTGGTTTTGGGACAGGCACAGCATATTCAAGGTTTATGGTACGCGGCAGTTGCCAAGAATGAGACTATAGTCGGGAAAGCATGGTCATCCTTCAAGGAGCTCAAAAGAGCGCATCTAATGTGGCGCAGGAGGAAGTTTCGAATAAGTCTTCCCGGCAAGCTTACTAGACGGAGTTTCCACCGTGGGAAAGCAATATCAGATTCCAGGATAATGGCGCATACACTCTTCGGAAGAGCCCACCTGAGATTGGGCCAGAAGAAAAGGCTATATAGCCGAAATGATCGACAAGTCACCGTTCCAGATGCACCGTTGTGGATGCCCGTGAAAGGTTCTGAAGAACGACAGAGTCTTAGTTGCCAACCGGGGCCCCTGATGGAGCATCCCTATCCACAAACAGAGAATTTCAACCGTACTTGTCTGCATGAAAATCCTAGCGAAGACAGTGGAAACCGCAGAGAATCCCTTGAGGAGGCGAGCAGTGAATGTGTCAAGACCTCTTTTGATCGGCAAAATAGCCCCCCAGAACTAGGACCGAATATCGTGAACCTATCCAACGACAGGGAGAAGCTGGCTGAACATGGGTCATTGACCAGGAGGCCATGTCTCTGAATCCAGAAGCTGAAGTCATGGAAGGCCAGAGCAATCTTGGGAGAGAAATATCAGAGAGAAGAGGAAGTGCGGGCCCATTTGATGACAATAATGAGCACGTGGCAGCGCTGACAGAGCTCGGCAACAACACAGGTCTCACTTTTTATGGTAACACTGTGCCCGGAGATCGTCAACCACAGACAATATCTCGAAATTCTCCAAAGGAATTTCCAAGACCTTACCCCTCAGAGACTGCGAACCATAGCGAAGAAGCCGTTTGCCAGGGGCCAGGCGGGTCCAATCTGCCGGATGGAGTCCTATCTTCTGCGACACATCAATTGGGTATCTTGCTGTTACTTTAATGCAGCACTTGATGCTTCCTGAGGGTCTGGCTGGGGACAAGGTGATAAGCAAGTCTGAAGCGCCTGTGATATTATCTGTTCTGACACTTCAACTACTGAGGGCACGTGCGATTTTCTTCAGCGCAGTCGTTAAAACATCGCATCGAGCGATATGAACGTAAAAACAAAGAAGAAACAATAAATCAAGAATTGAAGGCCCCGTTCCCCAAATTGTCTCTTTGCGGCGAATGCGATGCGCCAGATAATTGAGTCGTTGAGCTCACGAATCCTGCTTATAGCAGACATCGAAGATACAGTAGTGGGGTGATCAGGACCAAGTTGTCGGCTGCACAGTAAGGCACATTCGGCCATCATATGCGCACCAGCTTCATTTTTACCCCTATACATTAAGACAAGGGCGAGACTGTGCATGCTGATCAGGGTCTTAGGATGCGCTATCCCGAGAACCCGCTTTTGGGTATCCAGCACCTGCGCTAAGAGCTCTTCAGCCTCCTTCCATCGTCTCGGAACCATATAATTCGCCGCGATATCAGACATAGTTGCCAATGTCTCAGGATGGTTCTCGCCAAGTTTTGTCTTCAGCGTCTCACTCAACCGCAAAAAGAGCTGCTTGGCCTCTTTCCATCGGCCCTGCTTCGAGTAAATTAACCCCAGACTTCTCATACCAGTCAGCGTGGAGAGATGATGCTCGCCGAGCTTTATCTTGAGTGTGTTGTTCACCCGTAAAAAGAGCTGCTCGGCCTCTTCCCATCGGCCCTGCTTCGAGTAGATTAGCCCCAGATTATGCATGATCGCCAACGTGTCAGGATGATCCTCGCCTCGCTTCGTCTTGTTAGACTCTATCACTTGCAGAACTAGCTGCTGGGCCTCTTCCCATCGGCCCTGCTCCGAGTAAATTAATGCCAGATTATACATGTTCGTTAACGTGTCAGGATGATCCTCGCCGAGCTTCGTCTTACGAGTCTCCATCACCTGCCGAGATATCTGCTCGGCCTCTTCCCATCGGCCCTGATTGTAGTAAATTAATCCCAAATTCCCCATGCCCCCCTAGTGTAGAGGGATGATTCTCGCCGAGTTTTGTCTTGCGAGTCTCTATCACCTGCAGAGATAGCTGCTCGGCCTCTTCCCACAGACCCTGATTTAGATAAATCGATGCCAGGGTTTCCATAGCCGTCAGTGTATCAGGATGTTCCTCGCTGAGCTTCATCTTACGAGTTTGTATCACCTGTAGAGATAGCTGCTCGGCCTCTTCCCATCGACCCTGATTCAAGTAAATCGATGCCAGGGTTCCCATACCCGTCAGTGTTTCAGGGTGATTCTCGCCGAGCTTTATCTTGCGAGTCTCTATCACCTGCAGGGATAGCTGCTCAGCCTCTTCCAATCGGCCCTGAACCAGATATATCTGCACCAGGTTTCCTATACTCCTCAAGGTGTCAGGATGATTTTCGCCAACCTTCGTCTTGCGAGTCTCTATCACCTGTAGAGATAACCACTCAGCCTCTTTCAATCGACCTTGGTACTGATATGTCTGTGCTAGGCTTCCGACAATCCTTAGTGTGTCAGAATGATCTTCGCCAAGCTTCATCCTATGACTCTTTGTCACCTGTAAATAGAAATGCTCGGCCTCTTTCCATCGGCCCTGGCCCAGATAGGTCGATGCTAGGTCTGCTAAGCTCTCTAGCGTACGAGGATGGTATTCACCAAGCTTCGCCTTGCGAGTTTTCATCACCTGCAACTGGAGCAGCTCAGCCTGTCTCCACAGGCCCTCAAGCACATATGCAGTGGCCAACATCGCTGTACTTTCAAGGGCTTGGTCGTCCTCTGTGCCGAATAGATTCATTCTATGCTTCATTGACTCTGAGGCCATTTCCTTCGCATCGGTAATGTTACCATTCCCGGACGCATACCATGCACCTCTGTAAAGCAGCGTAGCCCATTGCTGTGAAATCTCAGGTGATGATTCTAGCCGTTGTGACATTGCGGATTTGATGTGGGGAAAGAGAATTCTGCATCTCCCCCAGTTCTCGTATTGGCCAGTTGGGAACTCCTCGCACATGTTGCTAATAGACTTCTCCCTCCATTGGTCTAACTGTCCATGAGATTTCAACCACGCAAGTGTGGTCAGTTGCACTAGCCGATGCATCGAAAATGAAGCCGTATTTTCACAAACAGATATCAAGGAATAATTCTTCAACGTCACGATATCGTCTTCAAAATCGAGGCGTTTGTCTGACTCTGATTTCTCGTCATTGTGAACATGAAGGAGCTCCGAACTAGATGTGGACTTGAGTCGATTCCTGAGAAGGATATCTGGTATCTCTTGCCGATCAAAAAAACTCATCAAAGAAAGTAACTGTGCTGCAGATGGCTTTATTTGGCGAAGACGATCAAATGACATTTGCCATGTCACCTGAATCGAGGTTTTTGCCTCCCAGTCCCGGTGGAGATGATTTGCCCCCTCTTTCAGGAGCTTTATCGCTTCCCAGTCACTCTGTTGAAAATCTTTTAGGTATTGTGATATCGAGTAGCGAGGTGCCCGATTTTGGATGTAGTGAGTCGCCTGTATTATTGCTAATGGCATGAACTCTAACATAGTCACCAACTGTAGACTTTCTTGATTCCCTTCTGGTTGGAGAAGCTTTTTTTGGAGAAGCTCCAGTGCTTCAGAAGGTTTCATTGGGTTCACTTCAACCAGGTCGTCATGATCGACCATTTGCAACGAAACCTCCCTATTCCGGCTTGTAATAATAACAGATCCATTCTGGACTCTCGGAATGTATTCCAATAATGGCTTCGTGGAGGCATGAGTTGGTTCTTTCGTTACATCTCCGTTGCCTGCTGCGTTGCCTGCTGTCGCAGGCGAGCACAGAAATTGGTCTTCATCAGCATTATCAAGGATACAAATCCATTTCCCTTTCTTCTCATCTCGGAGCCAATTCTCGACCAATTTGAATATGTTGGCTTTTGAATCCTGGCGCCCGGGGATTTTGACCTGATCCGCAATGTCCCGAAAACTTTGCTCGAATCGGACTTTGTTACTCGCATGGATCCAGAAAATCCATGTCGTCGGTGATTCGTATCGGACCCGATACGAATATTCGATGGCAAGCTGTGATTTTCTTCAAGCTGTGAGTAAACACCTACGTCATGGTAGCTCCAGACTCACCCAACACCGCCGAGGCCGAATAGCACGATTCTCGACCCAGGCTCTGAACTTTTCGCGCGAATTTGACGGAGCAGTGTGCCACGACCGACAAAGTATGGGTCCCGCGGGAATGGGACGTTCGAAAAAGGACTAGACGGTGTTTCTGGTCGCTCTAAGGTAGGGAACGGTGGTTAGTAGATTCCATTAGTCCCGCCGGGGCCTGACTTACCTGGCGGTAGATGAAATTCTTCGTTGATCGAGCCAAGGTTGTATCCGACCTGGAGCCCGTCATTGTTGCCAAGGAATAAAATTGAACCCATGATCGAGTAGGTTGGTTTTGCAGGCAGTTTATTCGACCCTACGGGCTGTGGTATCACGCCAGCTGAAGCAGGGGCAGTCCCCTTCCCGCTGTACGATCGAAACTTTGAGAGTTTGTCTTGGTAGTTATCTCGCAGTTGAAAGTTCTGTTCCTTGGCTCTTTGCGAATACGTCTTTTGGTCCAGATGACGACGGTTAGATGTCGAAAATTGTCCCAGGGGAATTTCGCCATCATGTGAAGGCGGGGGTCTCAGCCAGGTGGTCACAAAGAGCGCGGGGCTGATTGCGGGGATCTTCCTACGTATTTCATTGGTGTTACGCTCGCTGCCATTGCCAGTTTGGCCATTTATGACATAGTCAGTCCTTTCTGCCCGCTTACCACGTGCAAGATCATCTTATGCCGCCATAGAATCAGGTTTCGCACGACGTTGATTCTTACCTGCGTGGGGTTGTTCGAATCTGGACGACGGCATGGCGGGCATAGTTATTTTTGGAACAGTGTTAATACGTAACATTACAGCTCTCATCTGTTTGAAAGTTACCGTTCAAAACCGAAACATGATTCAAAGTAGGGAATTAACCATATCTGGCAAAATGGATTATGTGATCAGGGTTTGAAGGAGCATCTCTGTAGTCTCCAACATGAAAGGCGAACCTGGGCGGGTCTGTATCACCGGTAACTGACCTCAAGCTCGGTCCACCACCTCTCCATCTGGAAACCGCACCTGGAAAGAGGTCCGCGACCTCCCCAACCTCAGAGCACACCGGCAAGAAAACTCGATTGATGCCTGGAAGCTCACCTCGCCAGGAGACTATGCAGTGGCAGAGCATTATCGGCTCGGGCCTGACAGTCCGAGATGAACCTCCTTGGGGTACTTTCAAAGTACTATGATTGTGACCTAGCTGGCCCCGTTGCGGTATGCGTTCGGTACTCTGGTGACCGCGGCATCTGGGCGGTTCGCCAGTATCTAATTGAGGACGCTGACAAGGTTCTGTGGAACCTCCGCTCCATGCGCCATAGGAACCTGGCCTCCACTCGGGAGTGTTTTCGCACCCCGGATATTCTATACACGCTGGGTGAGTTTGACCCTCTCATCCTGGATCACATTGTCGCTTGCAAAGCCTTTCCAGATGAGCAAGAGCTCGCAGCCATTATGTCTCAGGTTTGTTCCTCACCTTACCTATCTGTCAGATGGCCAACTGACTGATTCCGCACAGCTCGTTGACGGGCTGTCATATCTCATAGCCAACAACTTCTACCACACATCTCTGGATTGTTCTGGCGTCCTCGTGAATCTCAATGGGCACGTTAAAATCGGTGCGTTCATTTCACTGATATCTCCAAAGAAAACCCTACCTAACGAGGCACGGCAGCACGGATCGATTGCTGTGTTATCCGGCAACAGGGTACAATTCAAGCCAGTCACTTGGCGCCAGCCTCGAGAATCATGATGGAATTGACGCACAAATATATCAAAGAAGATGGGGCAGTAGGAATTGATAATCTCGACCGCTGGCGAACTTACCCGGCTGCGATCGAATTTCTCTGTGCGACGGCCTCGGCAAGCTCTTTTGAGGAACTGAGAGAGGTTTGTTTCCCTTGTGTTTTTTTCCACAACAGTGCTTTCAAACGGTACTAATAATATCTAGCAACGACTGATGACGGAAATTCCATGCTGCCCTGGGAATCTCATCGGACTTGCAGGGTTCGCGTTGATCTCCGCTCGCACATTCTACTCGTACACGCCAGGGCCCATGAAGAACGATTAAGGCAGAGGTCAAATTTCCATATTGGCACCCCTGCTCTGTTAGCCACAGCAGCGGTAATTTGATCGATGAAAAAATCCATGCACGGTACGGTAACCGACGATCTTCCTGTTCCTCATTGTTCAAGCTTTTGTTCTGTCTGCTATTGAATGATACGCGTTTTGATTCTGATAGAAAAGAGTTGAATTAATTGCATCACCAATAAAGATCTAGCCGCTGTTTTTATGTGTAATGCCTGACCCCGGTAATTTCATAATTGACTAAGTAGCTCATTTAAATCGGCTGATCAGGTAGATTCGGAGATCCAATCCGCAAGTTTTTCCGTCGTAAACCGCATTCCAATTGCCCAAATACAACACTTTTACTACTCTTCCAAGTGCATGGAAGATAACTCCAACTAGCATCATATTCTCGGGACTACTTATTGCGTTTGCTCCGTGCGAACTCCCTATCATTTAATTACTCCGGCTGGTACTCCAGCTCCGAAAGCCTCACGCCACGATGCAAAATGCCCTTGACGGTCTTTCGGATCTGGTCTCTGAGAGACTACCTGCTGCTGAAACTAGAAAGAAATTAGTATACGATAGAATAGAGCCAGGCTACAGTAGGGTCACGTACCCATCACCAAGATTCGGCCTTGTTCATCGCGGATGTTCGGTAACCTCTCGATCTGGTCTCCCGATGCCTCGAGCGAGACTATGTTGTCATAATCGGGTGCACCTTGGTAGAAGCAGGCTCTTTCATGTTTTCCTATTGGCGTCTTATCATGAGCAAGCCCTTTTTCGACGTAGATTGAAATGCTGAGAATCTGTAGACGTTTTACCGTCAATACTAAACAAAGTTTCCATTTTGAAGCCGGTGACTTACATAGCCTTTATCTATAATATCGTCCTCCAGGAGGGGGTTGAGCAGGTCCTCAGCTGCGCTGACCATTTCTGATTTGTTAGTGCTGGTGCTGGCTGACTGGAAACGGAAGGGTCTTCTCACCAATTGATTCTATCTGCCACACCAAATGGAGCCGACAGACATGAAGTGTGCAGGTATTATAGCCATGTATCATCTTCTTCAGATACGGAATTGTTGCGGCGATCCCAAAACCACTCGCAATCAGTAGCACAGTTTCATACCCGTCAACAATCTCACTGGTACCGTGTGGTCCTGTGAACATGGCCAGGAATGGTACAGGACAGCCAGGAGCACTAGCGGCAAGACTTAGCAGGTCTGATGTCATGCCACTGCGTGGCTGCACAAACAACTCAATCGTGTCATGTCTTCCGCGCGACCACGATGTGACTATGAAAGGGTGCGTTTGAAGCCACGACCAAAATCTAACTGACGGCATCCACAGGTTGATATACTGGCCCGCATCGATCTTGATAGATCGGGGCAGAACGATACGAATCTGGGCCGCTTTTCTGAGCTTAGGATGTGTGAGAGATCCTTCTGGAGTGAAACATACAAAGGCCCGAGGAGCGCCGTGGCCCGAAAATAGCCCGTTCGTGTAACAGAAGTTGAGAATCTCCAGCAGAGTAGTCAGGGCCAGAATTACCAGCGGCACGTAAAGGTACAATCTTGGCAAGCGACTCTGATCTGGGAGATGTTGCCACGTGCCATACACAAAGAGAGCTGTCAGGGCTTGGTGGCTTCGGAGAAATACTTCATAACACCGTCGGCGAAGCCAGGGGAGAGAAAGGAGGGCAAGAGCGGCTAAAGAGATTGATCCCTATCAGCGTTAGCCCTGAATTCATGACAGCGAGAAGGAAACTTACAATTAGGGTAGATATGTTACGTAATGCCCCAAGAGGAAAACTGAATCCCCGGCTCTGGCATTCTGCAACCACGTGAAAACACAGCAGAGCGACAGACATCCAACCTGTTACCGGATGAATCTTGCAGCAAGTACGCCAGGTGATACCCAGAAGGTCAGCAAGGTAACCGAGGTGAGTGGCCGAGAGGGGAAAAATAAGATTGATAAGAGCCAGCTCTCCGGCTCTCCGGCCAGCTTGGGCGACGGAGTGTGCATGGAAGAATACCACAATGATATTGACCACAGTGTAGGTAAAATAGATGAGAACATTCAACCGGGACCAGGGGCCCCAAATACGATGCCTGTGGACAAGAGCAGGAAGTGTGAGGTGCCGAGAGATCAGAACAGAGCAGGACTCGATCCAGCCAATCATAGTGATTCGGGTCTGGATGAGGAAGAGAGCTAAAAAGCAGCCTCCCGCAGCGATTGCATAAATCGATGACACATTCATCCTTAGTGGGATCTCCATTTACAATGGACCTTGGAGGACGGCATATGAGGGGAGGGCGGACCTCTTTTACATGAAAGCCATTAGCCACGGCATCGCCATGTCCCTATTGGCGATACCTTGCTGCGAAGGCGTTTAGCATCAGATAAACCGGCCAGCATATTCCAGACACCCCCCACTCAGTGTTTTAGCTTTCAGTATTTCCGAGATAACTGCAGAGATCAACTTTAATGATCCGCCTTTGAGAGTGCCCGGGGTAAGTGCGCCAGAGAATGAAGGCTATTCACGAGTCAAAAATTCCTTTCTCCTCGCTCTGAAACAACAGATCTGTGGACCCAAGAACTACGTATGGACTGAAAAGGGCTAAAAATGAGACTATTTTTCTCTTTCCATCAAATATATTGTGAGGACAAGTTCTCTTGCAATTATTGGCGATTCTGAGCGACCGAGACTTTATTTAATATTGTAAGGCCAAGTACATACACAACCCGAACTGAAAAGGCGTTGCATCGAAATGTTCTCTAAAACGTGGCAGGCCATGACAACCAATTCAAATAGAGCGATAAATTCCCAGAGTGAGGTCAGTAAAGTCAATGAACGTACAAGGGGAGTCCTCACAATATGTACTACGAGGCTGGGGTTCGGCTTGGCATTCTAAAATGTACGACTTGAGTGGCGAGATCTGCACCCCTTACTTCATAATTTAATTTCAAGTGCCCTACTGGCTAGCTTGATGCTTGGCAACGTGCTACCATGATTCTTCACCGAGCAAGTTGTCTGGCGAACATGCAGTTTCCTTCTAGACCTTTTGTGGCACCGATTGGCTCAATATTCCTTGGCATATATCATTCTATTAATAGTATCCAATGATCGCATTCATATTTACGACCCACAGGCTCCCTGGAGCCATGGCCAGATATCAACCAATCATCCCACTGAAGACTTGTGGGTCATTCATGGCACCCCTTGGCTCATATTTCCTTGTAGTACCCATCTTCCCGTGTCCACTTAGTTCCCAGGAGATCGATGTAAGTATTGCTATACGCAAAGACGAGGCTGATGGCAGAAACGATTGATCTACGGAAACGTAATCGATCTATTGGATCACTCACGATACAAGGAACTCTTTTGCGAGGTGTGGGCTGTGCGAATCAGTCCCAAGCTGCACCATAGCTTGTATCTGCTTGGTATTGTGTAGGCGTAATGCATCTTATCTGATATATATACGAGGTAGATACCAATACTGAAGGAGCACGGAACATCCTGCGTTTGGGATAGTAGATAGCCAGGTGGGAAACATCACTTGATGATTTTAATTATTGATGCGGCATTCTTCCATAAAACGATGCGCTCATCACTGGTTAGTGAAGTTTGCCGCCCCACCCACCGCGTCAAAGTACGGACACAGGGTGGTGAAAGTTGATACGTCTCATCGATGCCTTTTTGCGACAGCCCCACGACTGTTTCAACGGTGATCACAGTGAGACGAGCCTTTTCTTGGACTGTACCACCAAAAAATGAGAGCCTCCAAATACAGTGCCATATCAATAATAAAATGTTGAACCAACTGCACTGGTGGTCTGTGTTTGTGCCCTCACAATTCACACTTATCATCGCGTCGACGCAAGCAGAATGCCTGGCTGGAATGCTATAAATACACGAGCCCTCGCCAGCAGAAAATTCGGTCTCAAACATTCCTTTGTCACTCTGGGGCAAAGAATATCGATCGCTTTTCGTCTTCGCCAGCAACACTTCGGTATGGACTGACCTCGAAGTCATGCACTTATAATTAAACTGACCCTTTGCATCGCACTAGCCTGTCATTTTTCGATGCTGAAGTCTTCAAACAGCAAGTGAGTGTAGCTGCCCTGTCATTTGAAATAATGCTGATATGCAATATGCTCAAGATCAGTCCTCCTCTGCTATCCCTCTAGGAAACCATTTGACGGACCTTGGATGACCTCAAAATCATCGAAGCTGCGAGCACGGTGATTTATGAAGAGCCTTCATAAGCTGCCTACTGATGATTAATGATAGATCGAAGTCGTCCCTTACACAGCCGCTTCACCTTGCTAGAATGCAGCGAACAGCAACAGCTAACGTAAGTTTTTATCAGCGGCAATTTGGAGAGCATCCATCCTGTGCCAACGATTCCCTGTATCAGAGGGCAAACGTTCGATCACGAGCCGCTCGATCTCCTCTAAGTCACTCTAGTGCGTTGCCTCTGCCTATTCCCACGGCTGGGGCTGCATTTTGGATCTCAGTGCAGATGTTATTTACTTGAGGTTTTATCTTGTCGTGCTCTCTGTCCTTCGGAAAAGAATGCTGACGCATCCTCTAGTCATAGGACAAATTTCAAGATGGTACTCGCCACGACCGAGCCGTACTTCCCCATTGTCCTCAAAACTTAAGGATGCACGTCGGGCCGGACCAATGAATCCCAGTGCGTTTCTATTTCGCTGTTCCAAGACACCTGCTTGAAACGCCCATTTCGCTCACGTTGACGGAACGAATCTAGGAAGGCTTAGTGCCCTTTGATTAGTCATATTAGGGTTTCAGCATGTTTTTATCTCTCCCGGCTTCATCCTGTCCGACCAAAGGTTAACTGTGATTATATTAGCCTTCGTATCCCGACGGCTCTGCACCTCTTGTCTTATATCCGATTCGAAGCCTCGACAACGGCATCATCCGGTCCCATGCTAGGCCAAGTGAGCTATCACAGCATCCAGCGACAACGAAGAAAAGCCGAGCATCGACGGCCCCCGAGTATGGCCATGGTCTCTCCGAGAAGAGCATCAATCAGTAATGGTTCGAGATTTTGGCACACTCTGAGGGCCAGCTCTGTCAAGCTCTGATTGCAGCTGAGCAAGTGACGATGCAAGCCGCAGCACTGGATCTACCCCAGATCCCTCACCGTGAGAGCAGTCGTTTTCAGGTCAGTTCCTAGTTTACCCTGTACCAAATACCTTGAATCTCTCCTCCAGTAATACTTTGTCCTAACATGGTTGAAGTTTTGCCTGGCGTACCACCAGCAAAGACGAAACAGCTATGCATTGGCAGATATGGCCCACATCCATTCCCTGCAGCACGGAGTGATTCCGGGCCCTCGGACGTGTGATCGAGCTGAGGCCTACTACCTCGTCTCTGATCTGCCCATGCTGATGCCAAACTATGTTGACGGCAAGTCTGTACCACCCCCAGTTATCAGAAATCATGCTGACATGGAGAGGCAGTGAAACACAGCCCTGGTTCGGCTGTTCCCACAAGTCCGATAGGGGTAGTGTATTGTGGCTAGCATTGGGAATCTCGTCCAGGCTACGAGTACAGTGAGCTACGAACGACCATCTTGTGCCAGCTGCTGATAATTGGTGCTCGACCGAGTAGTGTATTCAACGGCAAATTGCCTTGGCTGTGTCTTAATGCAGATGGCGATCCAAAGCTGCCGCCATGGCCTGAGCCGGAAAGTACGTTCTCAACACTAAGATATTTTGGAGGTCAACTAACCATGGGAAGTTTCACTATACCACGCAGGGAGACGAGCCGACAGCGCGACTTCTGCTTCACGATATCCATCATCTTGTCAGAATATCATACCCACGGTTCTTCCGGACAAGTACCCAGCTAGATAAGCGTTTTCAGCTCCACAAGTGTCTTTCATCTGATCATGCCGACACAAAATGATACTTAAAAAGGAACAGAGGACCCGGGCTTTTTATCGCTGATACTCCGTTCGAATGTTTCCTATTCTATTCCAACCATTGCTACACTGGCAAAAATGGAGACAAGTGAGATATTTTTGACCCACATGGGCACCGGCACCTGCGGTCTGGACACTGGCGATGTAGGCCTCATTGATGGGGGGCTACAGCACGATAGATATATGAGCCCTGCTGACTTGTCGTTGAACAGGAGCGACATCCATTCAGATCGTGCCGGAGGTTGCCAAAATCGCGTCCCATCTCACGGTCTACCAGCGAAGCCCGAATTGGCTGATTCCGCGCAACGATGCCAACATATCAACTGTTCAGAAAGCTTTAATGAGTTATGTTCCTGGCTTGCGAGCACGAAAGCGCGCATTGGCTATGGATGACTGGGGAAAAGAAGAGGTCATGCATACTTCTCTAGGATAGATTCCTAGGGTTAGAGATTCGCATTGCCAACAGCCCCGATGAGAATCTGCCTCCTCCTCAACAAAATACCCGATAATCCTCTTTCGGTCTGGCTCCTCCATGTCAGGCACTGTCGCCGCGTAATGGATCGGTGGCCTGCCTTTGTGGTCTTTACGACACATATCTCCACCGAGCTCGGAAAAGAACTTGATCACATCTATCAAGACCTACTGCGTTATGGCAAGATGAGCAATGCTTTGCCCCTCACTGTTAACTGCATTCGGGTCACAGCCGGAGTCAACAAGCAATTTGATAGTCGATTTGCACTCGGCTTCCGAGGTAGCGAACGAACCCGCATAGTAATGCAGCGGCGTATTCCCGTCTCTATTGCCTGAGCCCACTATTGCCCTATCCGTTGGTGAGATTGTTCCGAGTATATGCCGAATAATAGAGTCGGACTCCCCTTCTTTTGCAGCAGCATGAAGAACAGTGTTCCCTTCCTCATCTCGAATCCGCCAATCGGCACCGCAATTTAAAAGATACTTCATCAATCTGATTTTAGCGTCGTCCTGGTATTTGCTACCACCAAATCTGCAGAGTAGGTGTAGGGGAGTTCGTCCCCTCTCGTCTTGCGCATTGATATTAGCGCCTGCGGAAACAACATAGGTGACGGTATCGTTCACATCCTGGTCTGGCACATGATCCCCATAATACGTGCACGTCCGTAACATTTCGTCGGCAGCTGCGGTGAGGTCAAGGTCAACCTTTCCCTCCTTGTAAAGGTCACAAAGCACACGAACTGTCCCGGGATAAGCCTCGCGGATACAGGTCTCAAATCCTTCCTGAATATAACCATTCGATGTCCAGAATGCTGGTGCGTCGTTGATTCCCGCAATCAAAATAACTAGTTCCGGACACCGGCCCACAACGGCGATATCAAACGGTGTTTTAGGTCTTGTATAGCCAGGGTTGTTTTGTGCTAAAGGATTGGCTCCAAAATCGAGGAGCAGCTGCACCGTGGCTGTGCTCCACGTTCTGACTGCGGAGTGCAGGACTGTATCCCCATCATCATAGAACATGGATGCCTTCTCTGGAATCCAGGATCTAGGGGCATTTTTGAGAGAAGCAATTGGCTCGTTGATGTCGTAGCTGCGGGAATCCGATTTCATTGCGCTGAGGAGGATCTTGCTAGCCCCAACGCGTTTTTGTAAAATAGCCGAGATCAAGGGCGGATGGCCATATTTATTGGCAGCGAATACATCTGCCCCGTTGGCGACGAGAATACCAACTAAACGATCGTACCCCAGCGACTTGCATAATGCAATGCCGTGTGCCCATCAGGTGTACAATGAGAGATATCCCCTCCAGCAGCCCGAATAGTCGATATCAAATTCTCGATGACGGGTTGTGAGGTACCTGCATGCACATAAGCCAGGATAGGTCTCCCACTGGCCAGACTAAGGACATCGGCGCCAGCATCAATAAGCTTCACCGCTATTGCCTCTTTACCCTTCTCCAGGGCTGTGTGTAGAGGCGTCTCGCCGTTGTGATTTCTCACGGAGACATCAGCACTCTTTGCCAGGAGAATATTCAGTAGGGCTCTGTTCCCAGCCGCTGCAACATGGTGGAGGATAGACCGGCCCTTGGCAGCCCGTGCGTCGAGCAGTTTCTCCGAGTTGGCATCAAAATAAGCGATAATAAATTTTGACCGTAACCTTGCAATGCTAATACTGGCTTTTGGAGCGACAGAATTGAAGAAGAGCCTATCGTATAAAGGCCGGGTCCCGATCCGAGCGAAGAATGCTGATGTGCGGATAAGCCTTGCGAGGTCTGATAGGGGGAGATGTTCACAGACCTCGGAAAGGATCTCTGAAGGGAGAGATGAGAAGGTTTGTGGCATCATTGTTCAAAGTGCATGGCATTTTCAAAGGTGCAGCTGAGTTGAAAGAACGTGGAGCCGTTGACCTGGTTGATTTTCAAGGACCCCACCCCCACCCGAACAGGTGATTGGCCTTGTGGGGAATCGCAGAAGCGGGTGCCCCAATGATTTATCTGCGCTCAAGTCTTGGTGGTTGGGCCCAGAAAATAGTTATGGAGTGTGTATTGGTCAAGCCGATTTCGAGAACCTCTGTAACCTCGTGGGCACCCAGTGAGCTCGCACTGGGCAGCAGTCCTAGCCAGGCTGCTGGGACAATGGATTCATACCTTCTCGTGGTGTCCGGTGTTAATTCTCGTGGAGGAGACCAAATTGAATCCGCCGTGGTTGTGCGGTTCGGCCCGGTGCGGGAAGCGGCCGCACAATCACACCAAAATCAGGGGACAACGGGATACGAAAACCATCCGACTTCTTTTTACCCGACTCGCACTCGGGCCCCGAAGCTGGTCTTGCATTACCAGTGGAAGTGGTGGCGCCCTAGAAAGAAGACAGGACACCCCTGAGCTTGCATACGGTCTGGGATCGCATCGTGCGAGATGCGGCGAGGCGGTAGTGAACCGGTGACAGAGGCAGCCAAGCTAATATCGAACAGACCTCGTTCAAGGCCTAGGAGACCTCGTTAAGACTCAAATTCGTTAAGACTCGAAGAGACCACCTCGAAAGACCTCGTTAAGGCCTGGCCACGGGCAACCTTTGACGCGGCTCCTCTTCTTGACACGGACACCACCAAGACACGGGCATCCTCCTGGGAGCTACACGGGCGTTCTGGAAGGGATTGGTATTTGGCTGATGGCAAACGATGGACCTCGTTAGGGCGTTGCCACGGGCAAACCATCGATCCTGCTCAGGCATCGAGGAGCAAGCTTGGTTAGTGGGAAGTGGCCGACGTACACTGCCGGAAAGAAGCGAGCGTGTTGGCCCAACTCCGGACTGGCATGGTTAGACTAAATGGATACCTCTATCGAATCAACGTCGCGGAGACGGATCAGTGTGCATGTGACAAGCAAGAGAGACCGCGGAACATTTCCTCTTTCGATGTTGAAAGTGGACCACACACCGGACGGAAATGCTGCAATTTACTCATACTCACCGAGGCAACATATCTTTCTTCCTGGGCGGAAATTCGCCTTCGGATGACCAGAACTGGAACCCAAATTTGGATGCAGTGCGAGCCTCGATACGCTTTGCAATCGCCACGGGCCGACTCGACGCCGCTTAACCATATCGACCAACGCAAATTAACCCTAACCCACCCTATCCCCAACCTAACCCCCACCATCTTCCTTGTGCCAGAGACGGTAGACGCGCTTCAATTGCCGAGGATAGGATGTTGAACACTTGGAGAAGCGCCTTCAAGCAAGTCTACTAAGTAAATACTAACCCACAAGGACCCGCTAAGATTTTGACATCTGAGATGACATATACTGAAAGGAATCCTGTATGGGCTCTAAGGAGGCACAGCATGAGCTAAGGCATGTTTTAGATCAGTGATAGTTGCCCTTTCGGTTCAGCCGCCGGGCGTTAATAAATTGTGTGTGTGTACTGAAGGGGGATATAGATGAAGAGATACGGGACCAAATGTATAATATACGGTCTGTCACGGACCATCCACTTCGTGTTAATGTGGCCGCACAGCTCTCAGTAATCATCGTAACATTACCCACACGGCGAGTCGCGATGGAAGTACGAGAGTGGAAAGAGTCACGACTTACTCACTTGCTATACCTCTGCCTTTTGCATTTCGCCTCGGGCGGAGATGAAGCCATTCTCATCTCGATCGTCGGCAGAGTCAAGCGATCGATTGACCCGTGTCTGTGTCGGACTTCAACAGAAGGCTGATCGCAAATGCCCGAGTGCTGACCGTTTAATAGTGGCTGTTTGGGTTGAAATACTCGATTGACGTCCTACCACCTTGGGCCATAAGTTTGAAGACACCGCCTAATCGGGTAATTCTGCCATTTCACCACTCTACATTCAAATATATATATTGCATGCAATATGCAATATTATTGCACCAAAATTTGCTATAATATAGAATAATCAATTACAAAGTATATAACAGAATTTCAATTGCTAAAACCGAGTATAGTAGCCACGTGCCTTACGAGTCTCGCTTACACGCTGAGGCATCGATCTAATTATACTATCAATTTTATTTTGATCTAGTGCATCCCAGGCCTCCGATATACACTCCCTAAATAGCTTCCAATCTGCCTCAGATGTACCACAATGTAGTAGATTAGGATAGAGCTCATATAATTTACGTTTGAGCATACGCCACACGGGTTCAATAGGGTTGAGATCTGGCGAGCGTGGCGGCCATTCCATAACGTGTATACCATAACGTTCAAACCATCGCTGAGCAACGTAGGAGCGGTGGATTTTAGCGTTATCTTGCTGAAATATAGTTCCAGGTTCATAGTGTTCAATAAACCCTTCTTCAAGCGCTTTTAGGTAGGATTTCGTTGTATAACCACCTCCACGACCTCGCTGTCCTTCTGAAAAGTCACGCTCCATAATAACAAGTTTTGTACGCCCTCCGAGCCATATTCCAGCCCAAACCATTCGACAAATATCCTTCACATGTGCCTTAACCTGCACCATTCCCTGCCGGTAAGTTTCTCCTCTAAGCCGGGTGACGTATTGGCCGTTTAAATTAGGGATACGTTGAACGCTGCATTCGTCAGAAAATATGAAGCTTTGTAGTTGGGAATTATAGCGTTCAGCCCTCCAATTTCGGCAAAATCGGACTCGTTTGCGGGCGTTCTCCCTCAAAATTGGGATACAACGTCTTGCTCGATAGCGCTGGAGGAATTTTGAACGTAGGAATCGCTTGATTGCTGATCGAGATGGATGGCTGGGTATACGGGCGCTCAGCTCACTAAGGCTTAGCCAAGGCTCACGACGTGCAAGTAAACAGGTGTATTTAATAGTAGAGTACCTATAGACTTTAGGGGCACCTGAACGAGGCAGTGATTTGAGCGTTTGGTGCTCTCGGAATCGTTTGATTGTAGAGTATATTGTTGAGCGTGCGTCGTTGAACCCAGTAGCCATTTTAGTAGGCGATACACCACATTCATGAGCGTATATAATAGCTGCACGGGCCTCAGATGAAAGCTCACCCCCTGGCCTTCGATTGCCACTTATTTCAGTGCCAAACTGACGCATATTGGTGGTGTAGGGGGGTAGTTGAAGAAGATGGGTGGGGGGTGACGCGAAAATCGCGCTAAAAAATCGCGCGATGTCTTCAAACTTTTGGACCGCCTTTGTATTTCACACTCTTTTCGCTGTTACTAGACTATAGTATAATAGAATATTAAGGCGGAGAGCTTTTTTTAGCCACAAATTTATGCACTTTTACAGAAACTGTTGGTTTGGTTCCAAAGTTATCTGTTAGAACAATCCCCGGAGGGCGTCCTGATACGATAAGGATACGAGTGAAGAATGTGAGATATGCCTGATATGGGTATGATGATATTCAGACTAATCGCTGGTCCTCCTAAGAAGATCCAGCTCCTCCTTTTGAGGGGATCCTCTGTGCGTATGCAAGCAGGTAAGCGAGGTGATGTATCAACAGGCGGCCCCGGTGGTGGATAGGCACCTCCTCCGCATTTCCTATACCTCACTGTACGGTTGGTGTAACATTATCACCCTTCTTCGTAGCGCTGCGACCCGAAGTGCTTGGTAGTTGGATGATAGATGAAAGATGGATGAGCCTATACCGGTGGCTTTGGGTGCTTGCGTGGACGTCCCCGACGTCGCTTTGGTGCACTTTTTGGCAGTACACCATCCTTTCTAGGCCGTCCTCGTGGCCCTTTGGGGGTTTTTGCAGTTTCGGTTCTTGGTTTCTTCGCATTTAACTGTCCCTGTTGCCCTTCGAATATCTCCAGTGCTTCTGTATCCTCCATGTTAGAGCGTGGCTCCCAGGTATTCTCGCTGTCGCCGTAACCCTTCCATTTGACCAGATATCGTACTCCTCGGCCCCACCGCTTTGCCTCCAAGATACGCTCCACGTAGAACTCAGGAGCACCGTCAACCATCACAGGGTCAGGGTGCTCATCCCGTACGGGAGGACCTTGGTACGGTTCAAGACGCGAGACGTGCTGGGTCGGATGGACATTGCGGTAGCGGGGTGTCATGATGAGCTTATAAGCCTGTTTACCAGCTAGGCCGGCGATCTGGAAGGGTCCCACACGCTTGTGGTCAAGCTTCTCGTTCGGGCGGTCCCGATCCATGTGCCTGTTATCAGCCATTACCCAATCTCCGATGCGGAACGTCATCTCTTGATGCTTGCGGTCATATGCCTTCTTCATATTCTCTTTTGAGCGTTGGAGACGGTGCTCCAGCTCTCTGCGGAGGCTTTGAATAGCTGTGGTGCGGTGTTTCGCATCTGCATGAACAGGCATGGAAGGATTGTTCACGGAGGTACGTAGCTCCGGTCGTGCGCCATAGAGAGCTTCAGCAGGTGAGATGCCCAAGGCACTGTGGGTCGTCGTATTATATACGAATTGTGCGAAGGGCAGCCACTTTGCCCAGTCGTTCTGCCTCCAGCACACGTAGTGTCGCAGGTAATACTCCAGCGTCTGGTTCTGCCGCTCTGTCTGCCCATCTGTCTGTGGATGGTAGGCAGTTGATAGGCGACGACGAGTGCCCAGCTGGTGGCAGAAGGATGACCAGAATTCGCTCGTGAACAGGGTTCCTCTGTCACTGACGAGATTCTCAGGCATACCGTAATGGGTCATGACCTTCTCGTAGAATAGGTCTGCTAGGCCTGCGGCGTCTAGCTCCTTGGTGGTAGGCACATACAATGAGTGCTTTGTGAAGAGGTCGACCACGACCATAATGGCATTGTAGGTCTTTCCATCCCACTTGGATGATGGCAGGCCGGTGATGAAGTCGACGCTCATCCACTGCCATGGCTGCTGAGGCACCGGCAGTGGTTCCAGTAAGCCGTATGGCTTGTGTCGATGCACCGCATCGAGCTGGCAGGTGTGGCACTGCCTCACATACTCCTGGATCTGTGGGCGCATACCATCCCAGTGATACTTGCTCCGGATAGCTTCATATGTGCGCTTCTCCCTGTAGTGGCCTGCGTACGGGTCATCATGGTGCACCTTTAGGATCTCAGCAATAAGGGCTGGCTCACGGGGGATGAAAACCCTGCCGTCAAACCGTAGTAGTCCCTCTTCTGACCTGCTCCAGGGAGTGCCTCCCAAGCGTCCTGCACCGCCTGTTGCCCCTATCTTGTGGTTAATCTGCTGCAGCTGCGGGTCTTGAGCTTGCATTCCGCGGATGTATTCAACCATAGAGGCGGTAGACGTGGCATTCAGCGTCGTCTCTCCTGCTAGGGCCTGTCTGGCCCTTGCTCGGGTGGATAGAAGCTCTAGGCTATCAATACCACCAACAGCTTGGCACTCCTGGCCTTGCATTAGGGTAGCAGCCATTGTAGGCGCTTCAGGGTCATCGTCTGCGAGTGGTCCCTGTTTGAGGCTGGCTCTCAGTTTCTCAAATAGCTTCTGCTGGTATGGGTCGACCTGATGCGAGGGCGCATCGCGGGCATAGTCTGGCCTTCTGCTAGGCGCGTCCGCGGGGTTCTTGAGACCTGGTTTGTGGAGGATAACGAAATCAAAGGCAGCGAGGCGCTCGGCCCAACGTGCTTGCCGCTTCGATAGCTCCTTGGTGCTCATGAATGTCCTCAGGTTTGCATGGTCTGACCATACTACCACGGGCTTCTGCGTCCCTTCTAGGTAGTGGCGCCACGTCTCGAAAGCGTTGACGATAGCTAGCATCTCCAGGTCATGAGTCTCATAGCGCGTCTCCGCGGAGATCAACTTTCTTGAATAGAAAGCGACTGGGTGCCACTGGCCATCGTCTTGCTTTTGTGAGTAGATTCCAGAGATAGCATACCCTGATGCGTCTGTCTCTAGCTGTGAATCTCTCGATGGATCAAAGTGGGCTAGCACAGGGGCGTCTTTAAAGCATTGTTTTGTCTCCTCAAATGCCTCTTGGGCCGCTTGAGTGAAGATGAAACCTTCCTGCTTCTTGTTCCGCCCCTTCTTCTGTGCATCAGGGCCCCTGATGAGGTCGTTCAATGCAGCTATCTTAACACTGTAGTGCCGTATGAAACGCCTATAGAAATTGGCAAAGCCAACGAATTGCTGCACATCAAAAATACTCTGAGGTGCAGGCCAGCTCATGATGCTGTCAATTCTGCTCTTGTCCATCTCAACACCTCTTGGTGTGACGATGAACCCCAGGAATTCCACTTGTGTGGTATGAAACAGGCACTTGGAACGCTTTACGTATAACCGATAGTGCCTGAGCCTGGATAGTACCTCTCTTACATGGTGCCGGTGCGACTCCTCATCATTTGAATAGATGAGTATGTCGTCCAGATACACCACTACGAACACATCTAGCGTGTCGCTGAGAGCGCGGTTGATGTAAGCTTGGAAGGTTGCTGGTGCATTGGCCAATCCAAAAGGCATCACGCAGTACTCATAGTGTCCGTACCGCGTCCTAAACGCGGTCTTCCACTCATCACCTTCCTTGATACGGATGCGGTGATAGGCGTCTCTGAGATCTAGCTTTGTGTAGATATTCGCGCCTGCGAGGCGATCAAGACTCTCCTGCACCAGTGGTAGCGGGTGTCTGTTTTTGATCGTGACCTCATTCAACCCTCGGTAATCGACGCATAGTCGGAGGGAGCCATCCTTCTTCTGTACGAAGAGGATAGGAGCACCTGCTGGACTCTTGGATGGACGAACACATCCAACCTCGATTGAGGTTATCCTGCAGGTATTTTCTTAGCACTTCTAACTCATTGGGTGACAATGAATAGATTGGCCTGTGTGGTGGCTGCTTGCCTGGGAACAGGTCGATAGCATGATCATGCGAGGTATGTTCTGGTAATCTGTCAGCATTATCCGAATCAAAAACGTCTTCGAATTCTTCATATTCCAGTGGCAGTGTCTCTCCCTCATGTATCATATTAAGGTGGATGGAATCACCCCAGGGCTGGCACCATAAGATGCCAAGCATTCCTCCTCGGCGAACCTCCTTGCGTATCTTGCCGGCATCGACAAATGCAATGAAGGTGTTCTCCTCCTTCTGCTGGGAAGATGGAGATCGCCAGAGCCAGGTGCCTAGCGCCCAATTGATGTCTGGGTTGGCGTGCTGCAGCCAGTCATAGCCCAGGATAATGTCATATCCCTGCATGTTGACTGCTTCGCACGTCACATCTTCGTTGCGCATGGCTCCCGACGCGTCGGTAAGCTGGAGCTCCATGTCCCTGCTTCCGTACGACTTGATCTGGTGGCCGTCCACTGCAGTGACGAGCCTGGGTGCTTCCTGCGCGGCGCGCAGTTGCTTCTTTGCCCATTCTTGGCTGACAAAACTCTTCTGAGCTCCTGAATCGACTAGTGCCCACACGCACTGCCATCCTACGGGTGTAGCCACGAGGATCTCACATGCGAGGGCAGAGGAACGGCTCCGCCATGGTTCGACGACGAGACCTAGTACTGATGCGGTTTGCAGTGCTAGGTCATCTATTTTTTTGACTTGTGAGGCCAGTCCGCAGGGAATCCGTGCTTCCTGTAGCAGACATCCTCAGTGTGTCCAGTTAGCTTGCAATGTGTGCACTGCTTCCTGTCTTCCGCGTCATCGCGCTTCCTCTTTTCGCCCGTGTTAGGTACTTCCTCTGGTCGCGGTGGTCGGTTGGACGACCCCTTAAAGCCCCCACGGCCCTTTTTGACGGAGTGCTGGCGGTCATTCTTGTGCTGGCCTTGAGGGTTTGAAGGCCTCTCGGCAGGCTGATGTGAGGTGTGCTCCTTCTTCTTGATAGCAGTCTGCCTTTCCGGGAGTTGCTTCTCGATCTTTTCGTAGAAACGCAGCCACGCATTGTACGCGTCGCCTTCTGCTGGCTTGTTGACATACTTGCGAGCTTCTACGCTGATTTCCTCAACAAGGCCTGACCTTAGCCTCTCAATCTTCTGTTCACGCGTGCGTTCCGGCCGCATGAGCCTCTCCAGCTGCACTAGCTTAGTGGAGTACTCGGTGACGCTCTGGTTCTTGTACTGCTTGGTACGGTACCATTCGTCGACGCTATCCTTCGCTACCATGTCTGGGTCTGCTACAAGAGAGGTTGCCCAATCTTCGAAGGTTCGCCAGGTGAGGTTCTCACGTGCGAGGTTTTCTCGGTAGTTTAACCACTGGCTCGTTCTCTCTTCATCTAGAAGCCCGGCAGCTGCGTCGACCCTTCTTCGGTCTAGCTGGTAGAAGGTCTCATGGCGTAGGAAATGCACCACCATCTGGTTCTTGAATCGCATCCAGTCTGCGAGGTCCTTGGCAGTGAATGGAGAGATAGATGGTAGCGGTGGCACTTTATCGTTTGTGGTTGTTGAAGACGCTGCGCTCCTTGGAGTTCTAAGCCCGGTTATAGTGCTTGGGGCTGTCGAAAACTCCGTCGGCTGCGGAGACGGGGCTCGAACAGGTGGTATTAGTGTAGTACCTCCTTCCTGCGACCACGATGGGTCCCAGGACGACGATCCATGGGGCACAGGCACGAGAGGAGGGCCCATAGCTGCCAGCCGCGCCTCTTGCCTCTGCTGTTCTTCGCGCATATCCAGCACCTTCTGTTGCCTTTCGCGTATCTTTTCTTGAGCCTTCACATAGCGGTCCCAATTCGCGAGATCCGCTCGTTGCTTGTTCAGGTCGCGCTTCGTGATACGCTTCGGCGGAGGAGCCACGGCGATGACGGGTTCCTCTGGGGCATCTGACTGCGCCGAGACGGATCGAGCGTGCGAGGAATCAACTTCGTCCTCCATTGATGCACGCCGGGCACGGGTTCGGGTGAAAGGCATTCTCAACTCGACGGTCGCATCCGAGATGGAAGCGATTAGAATGTTAGGACAATCCCCGGAGGGCGTCCTGATACGATAAGGATACGAGTGAAGAATGTGAGATATGCCTGATATGGGTATGATGATATTCAGACTAATCGCTGGTCCTCCTAAGAGGATCCAGCTCCTCCTTTTGAGGGGATCCTCTGTGCGTATGCAAGCAGGTAAGCGAGGTGATGTATCAACAGGCGGCCCCGGTGGTGGATAGGCACCTCCTCCGCATTTCCTATACCTCACTGTACGGTTGGTGTAACAGTTTGTACACGTTTTGGATTTTATTGATCGTTCTGGTTCCAGCATCGTAAGTTGTATCCCCGGGTTCGAGATCACTGAGCATGCAAGGCCGAAGAAAACATCGTCGGGATAGAATATACGTTCCATCCCTGGGATGAAGAGATGCCTGCCCTGCAGGGGGATAACTTCGCCTGGATCAATGGTAAAACTTCGAAATGGGCTTCCTATTCGCAGTGTGGAGATCACGCCCCGTTTTACAGAAGTCAGCAACATGAATGGTAGTCGCGTCAATCATGCGTGATTAAGACATAGGCACAGTCTCAAAAGTGTAGCTGGTTGATAGACATACCGCCAGCCCAATGAAATTAAATTTTACTCCGAGATCCTATGTCACTTGTCACCATTCAATGTGGCAGAGAACTGATGTTTCTTTCTTGAAAAGGTACCGGCGCTAGCTCTATGTGGGAATACTTTGAATTTGTCCTGAAGAGTTCGCGTCCGCGCGACGGCACAGGTTGTGATACAGCGCAAAGATTAGTCGAGATTATTGTCTGGCCCATGATCCCTTTATAGCTGAACGGCAAAGAACTCTGGTTTGGCACGTCCACCGATCAAGGGGCGATAATATGTAAGTGTATTCCGAGCAGGCGCGTCACCAATGCGACCTAAACGTGTTGATTCCAGGCCATACGAAGCGTTCTCTCAAGATCTCACTCCGCCCGAGTATGATGTCATATCGCATCACGGAAAACTGCCGAGCCACTAACATAGAGAAGAGAGACGTCTTTTGAGAGTCTCCAGAAGTTTCAGTCAACCCTTTTGATTTATATTTTCAAATTCTACCATTTTCCATTCAAAGCGTTGACGCCTAACAACATCCATATCTCCCATCCAATTCATATTCCACGAACTAGTGGCTCTGGCTCTGCCTTTCTACCTCTACCACCATGTCTTCTCTCGCCTCTATCCGGGTCTCATCCCGCCAAGTCATTTGTTCCAACTTCACCCTCCCTGCCTCTACATTTCGCACCTCGGCAGTGCGAGGCTTAAACAAGAATCATCGACGTCAGTATACAAGCCATAGCTATCTCTGATCGCCATTACTAATCGTACGCAGATCGTGAAGGTCCCCCCAACCACTACGAATCCTCCAAGCATGAGGCCCTCAAGGACACCAAGGATGAGAAGGGAAAGTGGGACTCAGAGCTGGCTAGTACCAGCGAGCAGAATGTGAGAATGCCCTCTCCAACCTCGCGAAATATATCAGAGCCAACATCTTATTCAATTAGGTGAGAGCGGATCGGGGTGAATTTGATGGTGAACATCCCAGTTTCGATGCCATGCAGCAAAAGATGAAACAATTGCCTCATGACACTCTCAAAGTATCCGGAAGTAAGAAATGGGTGAGGATTGAATAGCTGGACGTTTTGTTGTGTGATCGATCGCCAATGAGATTTATTTTGGTCCTGGTGTATGTATTTGAGAGATATCGTTGCAGAGTGTTCTCGTGTGATTTGGTTTTAAGGATTATCGCATTAACAATAACAGTTGAGAAATTACACGTCTTGTTTCCCTGAGTATATCAGTGAATGGAAAGAATAAGTTACGGCGAAGGATATAATCGTGGATGTAGTATGATCATGAACTCAGCGTCCAACAATTCAACGTGGCCATCAAGTTCGTCCCCAATCTTGATACTCAGCTGGTGCTGCTGACCAATCGATCGTCCAGCAGGATTTGGCAGTAGCTGGCAGGGAGGTTGTCTCCTTGCTCTTCTGTAGCCTCGCAGGCTCATATTCCAAGTGGATTAATGTATATCTTGGTTAGAAACCCATACTATTGAGGTCATTTATAACCAACAAGTGGAGCCCGATTCATTATATTTACTTTTGCTGCTTGAATTGGCCTGATCTGGATCTTCATTTCGTCAACCCTATGGCATAATTTTCATGGTTTTTTGTCTTGGTCGCCAAACATTTAGCTTTTGGAGATTTCGACATGATCTCGCGGGAGCAAATATCTCGCTGCTATCGAGATATGCTGCGGCTTTGAGTAAAATTGGGTTCGATAGACCTCGCAGATGGGGCTGTCTCCAGTTTAGTATGTAATTTCCGAGACAAAGGATACTCGTTACGAACCATGGTGAAGTTTGGGATGGCGAGCAATGGTAGGGCAATACAATCGCGCGTAGGGTTATGATGGTCTGGTGAAAAGAGCGGCCGGGCGAGTTTATATCGTTCTTCGTGTCGCTACACGGCAATCATCGTACCTGAATCCATCAAAGAAGCTCGTACCACAAGAATGCGCCGCGAAGAATGGAAGTTCCTTAGAGCGAATTGTAATAGCAGTACTGCTCATGCCCCCAGGATCGCTGTCAGGGATATACATGAGGCATACACGCTAAGTGGAGAAACGGACCCACATGGTGCATCTGGGTTCCCCTGAACGCGAGGAAGCTGTCTTTCTTTTGCTTCCTCGCGCTACGTCTTGTATCTAGAGAAGACTATAGCTTTCTTTAATATTGATCATTCATTGGAAAGACACGCTCCTCATCAACAGATACGTGCCTCACAATCGCATTCGTAATTCCTGGGAGAGCCAAGTTCCGGGGAGCTCATATCGCTGGCACAGTAATGCATGGCCAGCTGGATAACGGTAACCAACGGCATCATGTCATATGGAATCAAGCAGAGGGTTGAGTTAGGAGAGTGATTCTGACCCACCACCACCCGTGTGGCTCATTGCGCCATCCCTTCCACCTAAATAAATAAATCATCTTGGACCTTACCATAGACCTGTTGATCGCCGCTTGACTTCGAGGACGGTGCAAGCCTTTGATCATACATGGATCTCTTCAGTCGTGGCCTTGCGACGATTCCGCATCGTGGACAGTCGTTACTTAACGTTGCGCAACAGTGACACCCGAGTTATCAACAAGAATTGGCTTTGTTTCAGAATTGGTGCGTGCATCGAGTAAGTTCTGATAGCAAACTCTGTGACATAACTTCTAGGCTGTAGGTAATCAGATTAGCTTGTTGAGACGAGTCCACGACACGCTATTTCTGGCCGACTCTTCTGACTGGCCGCGGTGGAACTCGTTTCACCTGCGTCAACAACGTTGACGAGGCAAAATGATTTGTCATGCTTCACGGGCTTCCGGTGGGGCGAGCGCTCCACCCGCGCTTCGTTCCCTGAATCCATTCCCGATAAGTCAACCATCTTAATGCCCAGTGATGGTCCCTGCCAACACACCGCAGAAACTCTGACCCAAAGCATGGACATGTATACACCGAGCCAATGCGAAATGATACTAGCCGAGCCCTTAAAATTTTGCAACATGTGGCTCACCGGTCTTCATATAATTTCAACCCCAAGCTACCGAATATCATCGCACGCCCGTAATTTCTATAAATTGAGATGATCCCTGTACTGCTCGACATTTCCAGTCACTTGTGCCACATCGTTTCACCAATGTCAAAAAAAAATAGAAAAAAGTGACAACGAGCTCTTCGAGGTTCTCTCAAGTTACGGAGACCTCAATATTGAAGAAACGGATGACGATTCTACTACAGAGGAAGATCTTTCGAAAACAAGTCCGGGTCGCAGCTTTGTGGCATCAGAGAGCGATGATGCATCATACCCAGACGAAGAGTCGCTAGGATCCAGTCTTCCCTGTATCCACCACGCCATGGATGGTCACAATACCTCCGGAGCTGTAAGTGCGTCCATGAGATTTCTTTTGACTGTCGAGCTAACCAGAGCAACTAGGTTAGCAAAAATATCCCGATTAGCGCCGTTGCCTCTCGTTTAGTCTCCGAAAATGGGATTTCAGTGATACAGTATTTGGTCTTGTGGCAATCGTGGGAGCGAGAGATACCGCATGAGTATGATGTGAGCGAGGATCTGTCTTCGTAATCCAAGTCGTATCATTGACAAGACAACATGATTGGGCTTGAAAACCCTTCCAATCTGCTTTGAGGGCGCTCGCTTTATTTTTGCCTTTCAGGTGTCTACCACCTACACCGTACTTGAATTTCTTGCAGTAGTTGAGGAATCGATGGACATCGTTGGAGGTGACTTGACGAAGAGCCTCCTTCGCATCGCTCCATTTTGGAAGTATAAATGTGCTCCCGCGCAGCCTTGAGCCCTGTGATTGTACGATCTCGAGCTTCCATGCAGCTTTGAGCCCTGCGTTATCAAATTTGTGCTTGTTTAGGCGACCCGTGGCGCCGCGGTGCTTGTCCTGATCCTCTGAAGATATGCAGGCACCTCTTCGTGGTGTCAGAGACTAGTATTCGAGGGAGTCACTTGAAGAAGCCAAGACCTGCTCTGAAGAATCGATAGAAATCAAGAATTCGCCAAAGCATTGTGTATGACGACTTTAGTATTGTTTGTAGACTTCACCATTCATAGCCGTGAATCGCGCATTGTACTTTGTAGCTTTCAACCACGCCCTGGGCTTCAAATATGGACATTCTCTTCCGTGTAGTCTAACGTAGAGCATTGAGTCATGGGGCTGGTTGAAATCCCGGTGTATGATAGCGTAGTGGCCAATCTGGGTGGCGGCTGAAACCCAAAATGTCAACATTGGTGTCAATGCTTGTCTCTGGTGGCTAGCAGTGGCGGTAGAAGTTGTCTGGATGTGGTGAGACGTGGGAGTTTCGGCGGTGGGGACGGATGGCGCGTGTTGACGATGAGTAGGTGGTGAGTGAGGTGAGTGAGGTGAG